AATGCTGTTAAACGCAAAATATAAATTTTGATTTTTCCTAATTACGAAAAAGTATAAAAACAAAATCGATAGCAAAATCTATAACAATATCGATAGCAAAATCGATAACAAAATCGATAAAAATCGGTTAAAAAAATTATAATAATATCGAAAAAGTATCGATCATTATATCGATAAGCTCCGATATCGGTAAAAATTTTAATAGCAAAATCGATAAAAAATTTTATAACAAAATCGATAAAAATATGGATAACAAAATCGATAAAAATATCGATTATTTTATCGATAAGTCCCGAGAATCCCGAAAATCTCTGAAATCCCGAAATAACTCCCAGATTCAGTCTCTGTGCCTCTATCTATATCCTTTTCTCTATTTTTTATAAGGTGTCAAGTAAAGTGTTTTGTGATATAGTATAACTTTTCATTTTGTGAATTTGGGGCAGGGTCTAATAAAACAATTGCATGTACTATTACAAAAAAAAAACACACAAGATGTAAAGTTTTACCTTGGGTTTATTAATGCAATAAATACATATAAATACTTATTTCTTTCTTACAATGTTGGTAAAATGAAGGATGAAATTAAGTAACTAAACAACTTATTCAGAATTTTTATTGTAATAATTAAAATTGCAAATTCTCGTTCCTTTTGCGAATCTTTCTATTATCCTTTCAGTGTCATTTTCAATATCTAAGTGTACGTGTAAAAGTGCTAGACCTATCAGTCTTTCTTCATTAATGGTACTACGCAACCATGTTTTAACCGGCGAAGGGTTGAAAAACTTCCTTCGGAAGTAGCGTTACTAGCTGGAAGTGTGACCAGAATGCGGAGAACTTTGTTAATCAATGGAAAAGCATATTCGTCGCATTTACCCACAACTTCTGCTGCTGATATTGGGAATGGCTTTTCGCTCCTTATTTGTCCATCGTTCCAACCACTCGTGCAATTCTGTTACGTTTGCTCATAACTTCACTGCCTTCAGCCCACTGTGCAGCTGAGTTTACGCCATAGTTTTGACGTTAATAATTTTTGAAACCGCGAATCGCCAAAAACAAAATGGCAAGGCAACGCAACGCAACCGAATTCGCGGCAGCTGCTGCCGCGACCAACTCTAACAAACAACGGCGGCTGTTGAGTGATAACGCAACCGGTTTTAGAAAAAAAAGAAATATGTAGGTACAGCATTATACACGCCGCGAGCACCAGCAACAACAACAATCACAAAAAAATAAGGCAGCTACTGGTGAAACCTTTAGCCTCGCTGCGGTAGCCATACATGGTGGCCTCCGCGGCCAATTGACAGGCAACCGAGAGACCATTGAACCAGCCAATCATCCAGTCACCGAAGCCGCCACGGTGCAATTCAGTGCCGAAGGTGTCAGCGTTAAAGCTCTTAGCATCAGCTCAAACGATGTTGCGGCGGAATTTCAGGTGGCTGAACAGAGCAGAGCAACTGGCCCGAAAGCGGCGTTGTGTGACGTGTTTGAGCTGCGTTCACGCTCATAAGCTAAGGCAATTCCTGTTCCTCGAGTTTGGACAAAACTTAAACAGTCACATAATTCGGACATTAATTACTTTTTTGCGCATTGCCAAAAAATGTTTCGTAAAACAAAACTAACAAAACAGACGCTTGAAAAAGAACGACAGAAAAATGCGTGAAGAATGTGAAGTTTGCCAAAGGTGCAGGCGGGTTGCCGACAAAGACGAGTCCAACGATGATATGACTTTTGTCAGCTTGGTGAAGGTAGCTTAGAGTAGAGTATATGTTGAGCGAAAAAATAAAACAAATGACAACAAGTGAAGGCCGGATCATTGTGCAGGAAATATTAAGGGTAAGGTCGGATGTGTAGAGAGTGACGTCAGCTCTTCATTTGGTTATTGAAAATCAAAATTAAAAAGCATAGAAAATTATCTTCAGAATAAGAAATAAAGCCTATAAAGGATATTAAACAAATTATGTACATATTAGGGCGGGTCAATTTTTTTTTACTATTATTTTGAATTTTAAGCAAATTAGCCGAAGCAACCATGGGTAAAAAATCCATTAAGAGCTTGCTAACTTGCGAAAATTCATTTCGAGGAAAATGTGAAAATGTTCACTGTTGCGCCCTCTGATGGAAGTTTTAAGAAAAAAATAAGTGCAGAACCTATTTTTGCAATTTGGCAAACTCCAAATGGATTTCTGACCCATGGTTTCTTCGGCAAATTTGCTACAGTCGAAAACATCTTCCATACAAATCGACCCGCCCTAGTGAATATAGTAAGTAAATCAAACTAAGTGAAGTTGTGAAATTAAAAAAATAAATAAATATAAGTAAATTATGTAACAAGTAAAATAAAATAAATTACAAGACGCTGAAAAAAAAACAAAATAAAACATGAAAAGCTAAGTAAAATAAAATTAAATGTATGTATATATGTATGCAACCGAAGTAATAATTAACCACTTAATTGCCCAAAAACTAAATAGTTAAATCAACAAAAAACAGCCACTTGAATAACATCTGCAGCCACAAGTCCACTCAGTTCGAATTCGGAAAAGAAATATGTATGTTTTGCCATTTATCGAAAAACAGCCAGTTAATGATGATTTATTGTAATTTCGCTGCTTTAGGTTTTATACATTTTAGATAAATAATTTGTATTTATCATAATTTTTTTCGACGCGAAGTCCAACGACAGCTAAGGCCAAACAAATATAGCGAAAAAACGAATAGGAGAGAACACAAATTTGAGAAAAACTTAAGCGAATTATTGCTATACGCTACCAGCGCTGAACGCTGAAGTACTTACATACTTACGGAAACGAAATAATATTTTTATTAATTTACGTTATATTGAGTGACAGACAATACACAAACTCATAAAAACACAAGCGTTTTGGAGATTTCTTTACACATTACATAATATTTATTTATTTATTCATTCATTTATTTGCTTTCAATCATATATATATGTATATAATATTAAAGTTTAATTGTTAAAGTAATAATTACAAGTTATTTTTTTTTAATTATTTGTACACAGATTAATCAACTTCTTAGGTGTCTAGTTATATATTTAGTTTTGCTTTCAATTGCAATTATTTTTAAATACACGAGTTTGATATTAATTAACTTTACAACGTAACGCAATAATTGCTTTTTTCTGTTTGTTTTTTTTTTACTTGCTTTTTACAAATAAATTTAATTTAGAAGTTTGTCTTTTCTATTTCTTTCAATTAATTTAATAACTTAAATGACTAAATAAAACTAATTATCAACTAACTTTTCAACTTTACGATATAACGGGTTGCTTGTTTTGTGTTGTACAAACATTTTGCACGCGACTGCGGTCGCTGTGAAAACCTGTGTACCACACAAATCGAGCGCCATAAATGCCTTTGCAGCTTTTGCTAGCCTACAGAAATTAGTGCATGTTAGTAGATATATTTTTGTTTTTATTTACAGTTTCTTATAGTGTATATTTTTACACACACTTTTAAAGAAATTTTCTTAATAGTAATATTGATTCGCTTGAGTTTTTATTTTTCTATTTGCAATATCTTAATTTTTGTGATATGAAATATTTGTGATATTAGTTGACTTTTTACATTATTCGATTAGAGTTCTATCTTTTCTTAAGTTAACGCTTTACAATAAATGCGGGACGGGCAGGGGAATGGAGTGCAACTTATATATGTAAATGTACATGTTTGCATTTATTGCTTACTAGCTAAATTAGGCTAAATTAAGCTAAATTAAAATTAATGATTTTAAGAAAATAATTTAAAATTAAAATTTTAGAGAGAATTTGGAAGGTTGTTGGGGAAATTGTAAAACTATATTAAAAAATCAATAAATAGAAGAAAATAGCATTACATATATTTTTAAGGTTTTAATCATGGACAAATTGAGATTATTAAAAATTTTTAACAAACACAAACTGTAAATAAAATCAATTTTTCCATGTTTCAGTTAAAAATATATATAACTCTATAGGCTCTTATTTAACTAGGAAACGAATTTCAAGCAAATATTGATTAACTCCAAAAAGGCTTTTTAAGGGTAAACGAAAAAGTTATCGCGATTTTAAAAATACCTATTGAACAACAAATCTTGTCATTAGTCATTTCATTTTGAATTATGTGCAAAGTTGATAACTAAACCTGAACTTGTTTTTCAGTACTTTAAATGTTTAGTTGTCATTTATAAACGTACATATGGGTTTTATCATGGGTGATCTCCATAGCTACCACAAATAAAAATATAATTGAAAAAGCACACAAAAAACATAAACTAAACATTTGTGTTTGCAAACAAAAGGAAAGACAAAATAGAAAGTAATGAACAAATATAAATTATAAATCATTATCGAAAGGTAACGAATTATTAAATTTCAAACCAAATATAATGTGATAAATAAAAAAAAATCTATACAAATTTTAAAAACTATTTTAAGCGCCTAAGTTTGGAAAGAAGGAATTTTACAGTTAAGCAAGCATAAGAATCTATTAAATTTTTAAGATTCATAAATAAGCTCATCGAAATAAATAAAAATTATTAAACAAATTACGCATGATTTGCTGAAAAAATAATAATTAGAAAAAATTTTATAAAAGCTCGGAATTAACAAAAATCATAAACGAGAATCCAATGCCAATTAAAAAGCTTTCAAATACATAAATACATTCAGCAAAAAATACATTCGCCTTTGTTTTACTTAGCTCTTTTTTTTTGTTATTATGCTAAAACTCTGTACAAACACACATACGTACATACACACATACTTTACCTACAGCTAAATTGATTTTTGACTGTGATTTGAAGATTTGTTTCTAAATTATCACTCATTATTTCGTTGATACTGGCTGCAACTCCCTTTGCCTTTACTGCTATGCTACGATTATTTCTTTTTCCAAAAACAATGATACCGTTTCGTTAAACCCATCTCTGCTTAGAACTCTCTCTTCTTGCGATATGTCTTTTCAATCTCCACTACTTCCCGGTCACATTGCAGCTCACGCATACTCCTCGGCGGCTCCGAAGTAATGCTGTGGCGGCGGCGGCGGCGCTGGTGGCGGTAAAAGCGTCGTTGGCGCTGCGACTGATGCCGACGGCAAATGCAGCATCGGCTGTAGGCCGGTTGCCAATGCTGTTGTTGTTGGCGGTGGTGTCAAACTGCCAGGCGATAACTTTATAGGCACCTGCTGAAGCTGCTGATACTGCTGGTATTGGTTGTGCGGTGGCTGTTGTTGCTGCTGTTGCGTATTATGATGTTGCAACATATTTCCTCCTCGATGGCTAACGTTGCCGCTATTGCTATTGCCTCCTCCGACATAGTGCGACATCGGTGTGAACTCTTCATTGCCATCGAGAAAACCATAAGTGCCCCTGCCGCCGACGCCAATGTAACTATTGCCACTGCCATAGCTTCTGTTGCCATCGCTGCTGCTAGCACCAGCGCAACTACCGCCATTTGCGCCGCCGCCGCCACCCGCAAGCATGCCTGCGTTGCCGCCCCCACTGCCACTGCCACTTCCACCGCTGGTGTTGCTATTGCTATTGCAATACTGCATCAGCAGATTCTACACCATATTCACGTACTTGTCTTGTGGTGACATGTAGTCCAGGCTGTTTTGCGAGAAGGCCTGCGCGGACACGGAGCCGGTGAAGGAGGGACTAGGCGATAGACCGAAATTCGATGCGCTGTAGCCGGTGTGACCCATGTTGTAGTTGACCTGATTCTGATTGCTGAAATATTCCATTTGCGAGTAATAGCTCGGCGCTTGAGCGTAATTATTGGGGTACTGTTGGTACTGATTATGCCAGAAATTGTACGAATCATGGTTGGGCATGTACGCTGAATGGGCGGCAGAGTGGTGTGCCGACTGTGCGCTTTGTGCGGCGTGCGCTGCTGCGGCGGCCGACTGCGGCGACATGGGCGTAATGGGCGGAGAAGGTGTCGTTATGCTAGAGCTGGAATCCATCGGCGTTATATTGCCGCCGGGTTGGACTAGGCGTGGATTCGTTGCTGCCGCTGTGCCATAGATGCTGTGATGATGCGCAGCACTGCTGCTAATATCGCCGCCGCCCTCCTTCAACGAATCGTAGGCGGAGCGCAAGGAGCCATCATGCGCGACCGGGCCGCTGGGGTAGCCAGCGCTAATGTGCTCCTTCTTGCACACAATGCTAACGGGGCTGACAGAGGTGGCGGGTGTGGGCAGCAGCGGTGACGAATTCTGATGTGCGGCAACTGAAGCGTTCAGTGAATTCACTGTTGCTACCGACGGACCGGACGCAAGTGAATTAATGCCGCCGGCAGCTGACATATGATGCGGGTGTGATGAGTGCGAGTGCGACGATACGATCGAGCCGGAGGTGGGCGTTATCGCTGAGCCGGAAGAGGACGCACTCAGGTAGGAACTATGATGGGATTTAATCGACTGTGCGACTGCGGCGGCGGCAGCGGCGGCTGCTGCGGATGAGCCGCCCCCACTATTCGAGTTGTTCACATGGGCGCCAGCGCCCGAGGAGTTACTCGATTTGTTGCCACTGCCACCGCTGCCAGACGTCGAGTGCGATGAGTGCGAACTTGATTTGTTGGCATTGGATGAGCTGGAATTGTTGTTGTTACTATTATTATTCGATGTATTGCGCGATGAAGAGCAGGAGCTAGAGCCGGAGTTGACATTCTTCGAACTGTTAAGGCTGTTGGATTGCTGTTGCTGCTGGAGTTGCTGGCGACATTTAGCGCGTCGATTCTTGAACCAAACCTAGAAAGATATGAGCGAGAAGAAAACATATTTAGTATTAAAAGGTTTCGGGGCAAGGTTTTTCTCTATCTATAGAAAACTAATACTATACGAATTGGCCGATCGAGAGGTGACGATTGTCAGATATAACGTTTTGATTCACATTTTCGGCTTTCGGAAGAGAACGTACAACCAAGTCTTCTAGCGCTACATACATATTTTTCGGAGTTAGCTATTAAAGTGTGGGCGTCGGCGACCCATAAACAGAGGAAATGATAATCCGACACATAATTAATATTAATACTGGCATTTATTTGAATGGATTTGCCATTTAATTAAAATACCTTTTGATTTAAATTAAAATTAAATAAATATTTACTTACTTATTTACTAAGTCAATGAATATAAAAAATTCTTATAGGCTGAGTAGATAGACGTATTTAAAAGTTAATTGTCATTTAGAAAATGGAATACAAAAATAGTGTAAATGCACTATTTACAAAATATATTCAGCACTGCTTCAAAAATGAAAAATCTATTTCAATAATATGGGAGATTCTATTGAACTCAATTTGGGCTCGGATAATAGGAGCATTTCGAGCATAAAGATCTTTAAGAAGACCAACATAGAAAAACGATAGACGATTATTGATACACCAGTTACTCACATTAACTAAATTGATTTCCATCAATTCAGAATCAATCTTCAATACAGATTATCAGAAGCTTCGCTTGAATCATCCACATTATGCAGAAATCTTACTGACGAGCAAGAAAAAATTTCATTGATAAACAAAACAAAAGGGCCCAGAATACTTCCTTGCTAAGCCCCAAAGCAAGCAGCAAAAAGATCTTTTCGCAACAACCATGCAACGAAAATGGTGCCAGTAAGATGCGATCCATCTCAAGAAGACTGAGTGGAAATAAATGCAAACTAATTTTTCAATAAGGATTACGTGGGAAACTTTATCAAAAGCCAATATAAACGGTGTCATCCTGATACTTTGAATGAAAGGCTGCACACGTTTGAGAAGACAGCTAAATTAGATACTATTGAGTGGCCCGGAAAGAAGCCATGCTGCTCTGGACACACCATATTCTTGACTACAAAAAGTAATTTATCTCTACAACAGGGGTATACTAAAGAGCACAGTGATATTTGGTCCCCATTTAATTCCCATAAATCCAAAAATAAAGTATCGATTTTAGGGTTTTATTCTCCTGGATTGCTAAATTAATGTTTCAGTATGGAAATATGTCCACGACGGGTCCTGTTTGTATAATCAGTGTGGAAGTGTTAATTGATGCAGCGTTCTAAAAAGCAAAAAGGTAATGCTAAAGTTTAATAGAACGCCAAAAGCCATAGGGGCTATCGACTTTAATTTTAAAATTGGTTTTTCTTCTACAGATTATATATAGAACCCATAAGGTATAATTAAAAATTTTGTTTAATATGTTCAATGAAATATTCCAGTGAATTTTTTTTGTTTTATAAAAGCAGTTTAAGGGAGAAGTCATAAGTTATTTTCTCCATATCTCACCAATAAAAGAAATTATGTTTTATTTTAAACTATAATAATAAATATTGAATCCGACCGTGTCCGACATTTTGTTTAAGACGCGATTTTGTACCATATAGTATTGAAAGTTTTGCTGAATATGATTTTTTTAAATAAATGCTTTTCAACCAACTTCGTGAAAGATACACGTAAATATGATTACATTATAATTCAATAGCATTATTACTTAAGAATTTTAAACACAAACTTAAAAACCCTAATATAACTCAACGCTACGTGAATTTTATAAATATTTTTTCAAATTAAACACATTTCATTTAATTTCAGGCGCCATATTGGATTGGCTATTTTGTTTTTTGTTATTTTGATTTCAAATTCGAATTTGGTGATCCCAAAAACTCTTAAATAAAATAGTAAGAAGCGAGTTATTATTTTTAACATTAATTATTTTGTTTAAGATTTTAGGTGCCATATTGGGTTGGCCATTTTGGTTTTTTGTTATTTTGAATTCAGATTCGAGTTCAGCGACCCCGAAAACCCCTGTAAACCTGATATGTGATGCCATCTCCAAACCTATTCTAACTTTGGTTGCACCCGTCTGATGAAAGAAGGCAGAAGTGAGGTCCACGCAGATCAAGCTACAACGACTGGCCTGCGTGGGTATCACTGAGAACAACACCGCGCTCTACTCTTTATAGCTGGGCTCATCTCAGGGGACAAGACTGACCACGGAGGAGTTTGCGGCATACAAACACATTTACATACACTCGGAGAGCAGAGCGGCGTTTTCCGCTCTTAAAGCGCACGAGGTCCCCTCAATACTGGTGTAATCCCTCACCTTCAGCTTTTAATTCTTATCGCTTCTAGGAACCGGGTATACCTCATATGCGCGCCGGGACACAGTGGAGTTATGAGAAATGAAGTGGAAGGTATTCGCGCCAGAAAAGAGGCTGCATATGGATTCATAGGCCCACGATCCATTATGGGTTTGCCATGGAGCTCCGTTAAGCGTAAATTAAACACTTGGCAAACATAGGAGTTGCTAACTCTGATCAGTGTTAGTTGTGCAACGAAGAACAGGAAACAGCAGACCAGATTATATGCCATTGAAAAACCCTCACCAGGACCAGACTTTGCTACCTAGGATTACCGTACATGGCGTAAATGGCATTCAGCCAAAGGACCTCGAGACGGTTCTTAGTAATACGTGGTTCGAAAAAGATCTGTGGCCAAATAGAGGCTTGTTGCAAAAGAAGGTTTCGGTCGTGGTAAATAGGTGGGTCCAATCCGCAGTTAAATTTCTTGAACTATTCCAATAATTAACTTCTAATTACGCAATGAAATTTTTTTACAAATGATATTGATTTCTTTTTCGGTTTTTCAATTCAAAAATTTGTGTCCCTTTGTGAGTAAAAAAGTAATTTAATTTTAGTCGCACAGTCTCGTATCGCTCATTCGCTTGATGTTTGATTGCGTAGATAAAACAATTAAAATCCGCAAACTGACAATTTTGCGATTTCCACATTTACATAAATTTCGCTGACAAAAGCGCAAGCGAAAACTTCAAAGTCACAAAATACGAAATTATTGAAAAATTCAATTTCATTGTTCATTAAATGATTTCAAAAGTGACTATTTGAAGACTTAAGCAAGAAAGGGAAGGATCAGAGTAAAAAGTGAAAATTTAACGTTTGAAATATGCTCAGGAGCTACATACATATCACAGGAGGGTGGTGCCCCATAGCGGCCAAGAAGCACTGCGTTCTTTATGGGAATTGCAAAATCAATGCATTACACTTGACAATGGAATGCAAACTCAAAGGAAAACGTAATTTAATTCGCATTTTACAGTTTTTCCTTTATCGGCGCAGTAACTGAGTATCCTTAGAGTAATTCGCCAACCTTTTTATCAAGGACTGGCTCTGTTTTTTTTTTAAACAAATTTTGTGGTAGCATTGCATGCAAATGTGGGGTGGGATGTTACGAGGGTAATGAAATTTGATACGCCTTGTTTAATGCGTTTCCCCCCGTATGCCGCACGCCACAATGGTAGGACAGCGGTTGGAGGCGGACAATCAGACAGACACTATGTCAAATAAAACGCCCTCAATCATTTTACCGATTTCAATGAAATGCTCGAGTGCACACGACCGGCTCGCTGGGTGCTGGCTAAAAAGTGGTAAGGAGAGATTTGAAGTGGAGTGTGTGGCGATGGCGAGAAATACGCCTGCGGCTGCTGCTCTTGCCTGGTATCGTATGGCATGTGACGGCGTTGATGGGCTGGCAGCACAAGTGTTAACTTCACAAGGCCGGGTAATAATGGGTGATTTGCTTTACTGTTCATTGCTTAAGAGCTGGGTAAGTAAGTGGTGAACTCGTTTCCTTTTTTAAACAGTGGAGGAGGGGCAGGGAGGTAATAAATTCGGTTGTTTACCAACGTTAACCATTAACAAGTAGCACCATCAGGCGCATGTAATGTGTGTACGTATGTACATACATACATACATATATAGGGCGATACATAAAATCACTGAAATAATATTGGCAAACCGAATCGCAGTCCACATAACAACCGAAAGCACAGCTGGGCAGACCAAAGAGATTTCACGCGTTCGCTCTGCTTAAGCGTTCATTTACTTAGCATGCATTCATGAGATGCGAATGGCGGCCAGGAGATGGAGTGGCAATTTGGCAAGAGATATGCGCTTGCCAGCACTTTGCGGATATTTCGTCTTTGCTGTGGCAGCTCCCCTTTAGCATAACAAACAAGGATAAGTGAATGCCGGCTGCTTGCTGACTATTACAGAAGTTAATGGGATGTTGCCAAACGAAGAGCGAAGAGGGTGAATGGGCGAGTGGGTGGGTGGGTGGTTGGCTGTTTGGTTGGTTGGGCGTTCAGTGGGTGCACTCAACAATATAATCGAGTCAATTTTCTTACACACGCGCCCACAAATATGCAGCTCAACGTGCGAGCGTGTGTACGATGTCCTTTGGAAAGCACTGGCGGGCACGTTTTTATCCTTTAGCCGTGAGCTGATTGAATAACTTCATCAGTGAGCTGCGAACAAGTTGCTCTTGTTGGGTTTGTATGTTGGTTTTGTTTATTTGTTTGTGTTGTGGCGTAGCGCGTGACTTTTTGCACTTGCTGCTGCTATTGCTAACGCTGACGGCGCTGCAATGAAAATACTTTTTATAGATATTCTTGGTCCGCAGAGTGCCACTATAATTTATTCATTAATGCCATTTCCGTTGGTGACTTGGAAAGTTTTTACTTTTGCTGCCTGCTGTTTACTGTTAGCTGTTTGCTGCTTGACACTTGACGTGGTAGCCACGCTTAGAGCTTTTGTTGGAGTTACGTTAACGCCAACAACAATGGCACTCGCACTAAATAAATAAACATACTCAACAATGTGCACACGCCACACATTGACGCTGTGACAGTTAATGTAGTGCAAAAGTGACGATCAACAATGCCGCTGCGTTTCTTATAAATAATTGGTG